TTCTCTGTACAATAATTCCGAGGATCTGAAATTTGTAAATTGTAATTGTAATTTATATCAGCGCTAAAAAATGTTTTGAACCAAATTTTCGTAACTTGCTGATTCCAGAAATAATTGAAGATTATTAATATTATCGGTTATTGATATCATTTTTTTTACCGGCAAAATATCTGAATAATATAACAATAAATTTAATATTGATTTATTATTATACAGATGCTTAATTATTCTCTTTCCTCTTTTTCTCTTTAACGTGCGATTACACATCTATTTTATTTTAAAATTAAATAGAGTGCAGATGCAAAATCGATTTTTTTTTTTGTAGCTGCACTATACTACACTTTCTGCATTTAAAAAGAAATAGATATTTATCAGATTTAAAAGAAGAAAGAGAGTAGAGGAAAACGTACAAAAGAGATTCAATTATAAGAAATAACTTGACACCCGAGACACTACCATGTCTCCTGATAAATTTCAAAAGGATGTTCCATAGTGCAAGACTCACGATAACGATTTGTGAACAGCTGTAAAAAGCGGTAGTAAATTGATGTGCGCTAATTCGTAATCCGTTGAGATCTATGATATTTGAATAATTAAAATGTCGATGTGCGTATTAATCTTTTGATACATTCTTATTACTGAGAATGTTAAGAAGCAGAATTTATTTCGAAAAAATAACCTAGACGTGACGAGTTTGAGGTTAGAATTTATAACTTTATATACACCCCTGTAAATTACAATATTTTTGAGTATTTTTTATACAAAATGCGTTTAATTACATTTATTTGAGAAGAAACACCTTAAATATTTTTACATATTTTCTAAAGCTTTTGTATTTTAGATATAGATAATATTAATTATGGAGCGTGGAAAGACTGGGATTGGTAGAGCGGTAAAAAGTAAAATTGCTCAGCATCCTTCGGATTTGTTCGCATTAGGATCGAAGAGTTCGCGGAACGATAATTCTGACTCTAAAAACAGGCCTGGTGTTATCCATTCCAAAGCAAGCAGCAGCTCTACGAGCTCTGGTAAACAGCTTATTCTTTTTTTATTGATTTTTTCCTAATTACCACCTAATTATCATCTCATCTAATTGCAAATTATTGTTTATTGATTATTATAAATCATCATGTAGGTAATGACCGGAAGAAAGAGGCACCTTCTGGATCGTCATTTTCATATGTTCCACAGAAGAAACCTAAGTTAGCTCATGTTGGTTCCCATCAGCGACAGTCTTCCAGCGCAGAGGCATGGGAAGTTTTAGTTATAGATACTGATCCTGCAGATTTCGTACCTATGGCACTTGAGGCTAATGACAATGATGAGGGTGACAGAGTTATTGGAATAATATGTGGTGCTATTAAGACACTGAAGAATCACAAATGGAAACCTGACACATTACTTTATATGGGCTTGTTATATCTAGCAAAAATCCGCCCATCTATTTTCTCAAACGATTGCATACTACATGCATTATCATCTCTTTTAAGAAGGGACCAAAGTTATACTTACAAGAAAGTGAATCCATTGGTTCCAGTACTTGCTGCAAATCTTTTAATGAAAGGTTTCCATGACAAAAAGAATTGGCCGGAAGTATTTGTAAAGGTTGTTTATCTGCAATTTTTTGTTAATTATTTGCTGCATAATTTTGATATTTTAATTGACTTTAATTATTTTTATAGTTGTATATTGAAGATGCTCTTGGTGAGCGCGTTTGGATTGATCATGAAGAATGCAAGGGCTTTGTTGATAATATATTAACTGGTTTTAACACAAGACATCCACCTAAGTCTGTGTTACAACCAGAATTCCCGGTGATGATGCAGCGGGACTGTCATAGCCCGTCTACAGTGGATGACGAAGATCCGGCAACGTCCACGTCATTGTCTGGGGATAGAGAAAAAATAGAGTTTCCGGTGGGTCCACGATATGCACATTGTGTGGAAAATATAGAATCAATAGTATTAGAAGCTGCGAAAGAGCAACTGAACAGACGTCAGCCTGAAACTATAACAAGAAACTTTTTGAAGTTGCTCTCTTCAGCATGCGGTTTTGTTGAAATCAGAAACATTGCTGTTCCAAGGCTGGAAGTGTGGCTACACAATCCTAAACTGATGAGACCTGCGCAGGAATTACTCATTTACATCTGTTACAATTGTACGTCTCATACTCAGAGGGATGTCGAGGTCATAAGCCAGTTGGTTAAGATGAGATTGAAGACGAAGGCTGTGATCAATCTGTATTTAAACGGAGTTAAGGAATTGATCGGATTGCATCCGGAGAACTTGGCTACTATGTTGAAGCACACGATTTATAATGAATTATCGAACGCGCGTAATCCAAACAATATGCCCATGTTGGGTATAATGTTTCAAACCTTGCCTGAACAAGCAGCGAAATTGCTCGCGGAAATCTTTCAGGATTTACTGATGAATCGCGAAGATTATTTGCGGCCATTACGTGCATTGCTCAGGGAAATCGTACGCGTATGCCGGCATGATATTAATCTAGTCGCTTTCGCTCGAACATTGATGTCCGAGAGACCAGATATAGCTCAACAGTTGTTGAATTTTGAGTTTAAAGATCGAATGTTTATGTCAATAGCTGATTTGTTATGTCTGTGCATGCTTCTCGGAATAAGTCCACAGGTAAAGGAAGCCGGGACGATGTCAGCGCGTGCAGATAAAAAAGATGTGGCTCTGTTGCATCAATTCCAAAATCTCGTAGCTATGATACAGCACGAAGCAGTGTTGTGGCTGCAGAATTCGGCGCAACAGATGTACGCTGTTGGGCGAAACGAGCTATTACATGCGATGCACAAAATCTTGCTTTTGGAATCTCCCGAACAGTATTATAAACTAGACAATTGGCCACCAGAGTCAGACAGAGTGTTCTATATACGATTAGTATCCGATGTTCCTCTATTGCAAAGTACATTGTTGAGACTGCTAGTAATCGGTTTTTCGAAGGTAAATGCTTAGATTTATCATCTGTAAAATGAATTTTGTTTAAAGACGAATCTCATTTTTATTTTTATTTATAGGAGAACGGCATCACTCATTCAGAGACATTGGACTTGGCCGATCAATTGATACGGAGAGCAGCAGCGAATTCGACAGAAAATTTCCCGATGTTACAAGCTGACAAAATGGACATAATCGAATTTATTTTTAATCTTTCCATCTATCAACCACCGGGAACAATAAACATACCTGCTGGGTAACTACTTGTATTCTACTTGTATATATATATATATATATATATATATATTACTTTCTATATATTACTTTTACAGAGATATACAACTATATATTTGTCTTATAGGTATGTGCCACCGACATTGGCAATAGCTAATCTTTATTGGAAAGGATGGATAATGTTATTAATTTTGGCTGCTCATAATCCATCTACAATTGGAGCACTAGGATGGAGAAGATATCCTATATTGAGAACATTGATGGAAATGTGTATCACAAAGTATGTTTAACAATTAGAGATTATAATCATAAATATTTTGACCATATAACTTTGTGTTTATTATATAATAAAATATTTGTTTTGTAGTCATTTCTCATATCCACCGCCGACTATGGCCCTGCCAGAAATCATGGAGCAAGAGCGTGCAAAGGAATTGCAGGTTGAAGCTATCGAGAAGCAAGAGATATTGGAATACGAATCGCATTTAGCCGCAGCCTCATCTAGAATCCAGTTATCCGAACAGAATAGTTTCCTGCTGTCGCAACTGATTACTATGGATCCAACGGGAATTGCTAGAAGACCACCACCGGCCGTGCTCGAGCAGATACAATCGTTGAATACGTCTCACAGATTGGGCCATCTACTTTGTCGATCGCGTAAACCAGATTTTTTGTTGAATATCATACAAAGGCAACAGCAAAGCACATCGCAAAGTATGCCCTGGTTGGCAGATCTGGTGCAGAATAGCGAAGGTTCGCTAAGTCAGTTGCCTGTACAATGTCTCTGTGAATATTTATTGTCGACTAGTCCGCAGACGGTCGAAAAGCAACCTAGGCAGCAACAATTGTTGGCTCATCTTCAGACTCTATTGACTGATCCGAATCAAGATCAGCAGCATGCCTATGAGGTCTTGGAATATTTTCTGAGGAGACTAAGCAGCCAGCAGAGTAGCAGCCGTGTCCAAGCGATTACCGGACTCAAGATGGTTCTAGACTCGATACCTCTTGAAGATGAGAGTATGGATGTGGACGGAGAAAACGAAAAGTACGTTTTTAAATGTATTTTACGTAAAAAAACTAGTTTTAATAATTTTAATAATATATATTTTTTTAGGGAGACTTGGCTTTTACGAAAATTGCCATCGATACCTCACTTCTTATCGGTACGTTCGCTGGTTTCCACGGCACTACGTGGCGCTTGTCAAGTTGAAAACAGTCCGGATCTCGTGCATACCTATATATCGTATTTGGCTGTGCATACTGCTGATGACGATTTACCTGATTTGACTGACTTAGCCAATGAGATCTCTCAATTGGTTGTTGAACGAAGCACGATCATCGCGGCCATCCTGCCTCAACCTGAAAGTGATAATCAGCAAGCCAAACAAACGTTGCACTCCTTCATGGCAATCTTCTGTAATTATCTCGAGAAAGCGCGATCACCTAGAGGAGAAGGTTACCAATGGTCTGAGAGTCAAGATCAGATTTTGGTGCAGTGGAGCAACGGCGAGGAGTGTACTATGCACATTTTGGTGGTGCATGCTATGATTATATTATTGACATATGACACATCTGAAGACGATCCTTTGTTCAATAATTTATTGGAAACATGGTTTCCACTGACAGAACAGCCGAAAGCTTTTCTCGTGGACACTAGCGAAGAGGCGTTACTCATACCTGATTGGCTCAAATTACGAATGATAAGAAGTAACGTGCCTCGTTTAGTTGACGCAGCTTTGAAGGACCTTGAACCACAGCAATTGGTGCTTTTCATCCAGAGCTTTGGGATACCTGTGTCGTCGATGAGCAAGTTGCTTCATACACTCGATGCAGGCGTCCAGATTGATCCGAGTTCGGTTGGCGAGGCAGTTTTAGATAAAACATATATGGCTCAATTAGTCGAGGTGCAACACCGAAGAGGTGCCACGGGTGGGTTGGTATTTGTTCAAGTATTGCAGTTGTTGGAACCACAATTGCCGGACGAGAGTGTTGTATCGATTGGCAGGCTGCAACAACCATTGCCGGCCAGTGCCATGGTACAAAAGCAGTCTGTCATACAGTGTTCTGTGAAAACCGACGTACCTCATTTGATAAATCGGCTGTTCATCGAGAATATTCCAATGAATCAAAAGATGGACGCTTATCGGCGTTTGCACAAGACTTTGGCGAAGGATTTGCAGAGGTCTTGCGTGAAGGAGAGTGGTGCGGTGGTGCTGGCGATACAGCACATCTGTAGCGTTCTCAGTTCTATGCAAGTCAAGCAGTTCTTGGCCTCGCTTGTGCACATGCCGCAATACTCGTGCACATTGATGCGCGTGATACTTTTGCCGCTCAAGAGATCGTCGACATCGAAGCACGTGATCGATCTGGCACGCAATATGTGCCTGAATCTAATATCACTGATAGGCGACGTGAAAGCACCGATTTTGTCAATTCTGCGGGACTTCGCCAATGTTCATTTAACAAAAATGCCACAACATGCTGAGCTATCGATGCTGATGCAAAACCGTGGCGAAAGTCCTGGTTCAATATTGGAAAACACAGATCCTGTGAATCTAGAAGGTGTAGGTCGACGATTGCTGGATCTCTGTCTAAAGCAGCAGAAGAATGACGATCTAGTCGAGGCTATGGCGAGATTATTGGTTAGTGATAGTAATGAAGGCGCATTGAAACCTCGCACGGGTTTGCTAATTGATTGGTTGGCCTCCGTGGAGCCTGAATTGATCGGTATTTGCCCGAATCTCCAAATGAAGCTATTGTTCGGAAAGGCGAAGGTACATATCAACATCGACAAAAACGTTGTGAGCTCTCATTCCTGTCGGCCTTACTTATTGACCTTGTTGACGCACAGAGCAAGTTGGACCACTTTGTACAAATGCGTTGGACACTTATTAGATAAATGCGACGATGGGTGAGTAAAACGAAAATGAATATCCTTCTTTTCTCAAGTTTTGTTATTAACGATATTCTCTGTTTATGCAAATAAATATGATTTTTCCTAAGTTGATTTTTCTTACATTTATACGTATTTATATGCAAATATAAATAAATATAATATAAAAAATAATATATTTGTAGATATGATCCTACCGCTGTTCTGGACTTTTTATGGGCCCTGACGTGCAATCCCAAGTTGTGGCAAGGTCGGGACAAATTTACCCCAAAACATTATGTTCCTGAAAATATTCTGCTGTTGGAAGAACGACAGTTGCTTAATTTGATAGCATATATAGTATCCGAAGCCGTTATTATCTGTAATATGCAGAACAGAAATGCCGCCCTAGCGAGAATGGACATCAGGCTCGATTTACTGTTACATTGCATATCTACTGAGGATAGTCTGATCTCCAGTGTAGTCAATTATCTAGCAGAGCGTATGATGGATAACACTGAGTACGATAATTTTGTCTTATATGTTTTGCAACATTACATTTAGCATTTGTTGCTTTGATGTATCGAATAAAAAATGATTGTATTTAATTTTCAGTGTAGACTCGGCGGATATGGCGCATCAGTTTTTGCTACATATGTACATGAAGATTCCGAAAGTTATTTGTTATCTCGACATGTTTCAAGCGAGCAAATTTGTCAACGGTGCAAAGATAACCAATTGGACGGGCTCAACACTCGATTGCATGAGTCATTCCTTGTTAACAGCTTTGGCGGCAACTCCGAGGCAAAAATCTTGGAATTCCAAATCGCAGGAATTTGAACTCTGCGCAAGAAAAATAGCGGCTGTGCATCCTATCTTGGTGCTGCGACAACTGCCCATGTTAGCGTCCTCCTTGATGGGAAGATGTTATCTTGATTTCGGCCAATTTAGGTCTGGTCACCATTTGAACCTTTTCATGCAAGTTATGGGGCTATTGGAATTGTTGCAGCCGCATCTGTTTAACGAGCAACATGAAACTGCGTTAGAGAACACTTTAGAAAATTATTTCCAGTGTTTTCAGGTATTGTATCTTTCATATAATATCTTCCATAACAGTATAAGCATTTAGCAACAACAAAAAATGATTTGAGGCAGATATATCTGGATATTATCTTGCTTTCAGAATTATGGACATATAAAAGATCTCATCTCTTTGCTGAACAGATTTGTGTTATTATTACAATCATATGTATCACACGATCCACAACGAGCATTAAAATATCTTCAAAAGCACGCGCATATTCTGCAGTAAGTTGTTTTCTATTATACGTCTTATAAATAATTTATATCTGATATATTTACATATGCAGTTTATGTGTGTATATATAGTGAGTTGCAGGCAAATTATCCTAATTCACCTGCTTTGAGGACACTCGTATCAGGAATACCGATACCAAGGGAGGGAGAAGATACAGATGACATTTTGATCACTGTAACTCCCGCTCCGCCTTCCTCGGAACCCGTTATTCCGCAACACTGGCAATCGTTGCTGGCTACTCTCACCAAACTGCATGGTGAAGGTATGAGAAATCTGTCTAAATCTTATTAAATATGTATTTTCATTCAAATTATGGTTGTAATATAACAGAAAAGAAATTTATTCTTCTTTATAAATGTCATTTTTTCCTCTGCAGATGTACTCAATGCCCTTCAAGAGATTGATCACGTATCATCGCGAAAACCTTCAATTTTGGAGCCTATAACGGACAACATAACCGAACTGCTTGTATCACCGCAGGGCAACATCAGAACGCTCGCTCACAATCTGCTCGCTCGAGCATTGAAACATCGCCCTACATCAAATGCAAATATACTGTCCGCATTTCAAAGGTGTCTGGACAGTCACAGAGCAGATGTTCTTATGTCAGCTTTGGAAAAACTACCAGATATCGTGTTGTGTATGCAAGGTAAAAGTCGAGTTCTATAACAAATATACGTATCTCGATATTGATATACGATAGCAGTTTTATGTGCATCTTTTTTTATATTACAGAACATGCTTTACCCTTAATGCAAAGAGTGTTCGAGTTGGGAGTGAACTCGAATGTCAACACGATACCTTACATCACTAAGACTATCGCTCTGTTAAATACGCAGCAAGGTTGTTAGTATCTAAAGTTAGTCTATTAATTTTGTAAATATTATGCATAAGATTTTTTCAATTAGAGCAGAACGGAGGAAGATCTTTTATTTCTTTTCTTCCAAAGTATTTGAGCGATAAGAAAAGATTATAATTTTATTAGAAATATATAAATATATAATTATTTAAATATATACATAGAAACAATATAAAATTTTTTTCGTTTATTTTTTTTTACTTTTACAAACACAACTTTTACATATGCTATCTATTTATAATAAAGCTATTCTTTTTTTATATCAAAGTCTGTTTAAATTTAAGTTTATTGAAAAGCTTCTGGAGAAATATCATTAACTGAATAATTCTTTATAAATGTAGTGATTGCATTTCTTATATTCCATTCTGCCTCCTCAAGGTATTTATAACAATATCGAATATTCATCGTGGTAAGCTCACGTAAAAATCTAAGTAATTGTTCCTTTTCTGATACGCTTAGTACTGTCGGAATAAATTTGGATATGGGTTTTGGATCAAATTTCACTTCGTTAGATACAATGGCGGGTGTACCATCAATGTAATATTGATCGTTAACTATGCAATATTCATTGTCTTCTTTTCGCATAATAATGAAAGTCCTGTTGAACAGCATAGGCGGGCAGATTAATATTCGATATGAAAATAACCCTTGCACAGAGATAGCTATATGATTGTCCCCTTCATGCAACAAGTCTATATGAAATGTCTTAAAATCATGCATTGTCGGCGGTTGTCGCTGAAGAGCAGTGATTATCTTCTCAGGTCCCCAAAATAAAAATTCATGACATTTGGCGTAATCGACAAACTTCAACAAATTTCTGTTTGTGGAAAACGTCTTGACTATTTCTTTATGTAATTGACTCGTCATACTACCTAACGTCATTGAATAGAAAGCGTTTTTGTCATATAGACCGTTCATAATTATTCTATTCTCTTGGTCATATAGCGTAAAGAAATGCTTGACAAATTGTCTGATCAGAGGAATCTTTGTTCCATTCCCGAGATAATTGCTTATTATATTTGGTACAAATTTGTTCTCCATTCCTATGACGATACCGTCTAATGTTTGCAAATGTGGAAAAACATTCTTTACAGCCTGTATATAATCCTGAGAGTTGGAGTAATTTGCGCACAGTGGATTGCCATCCAACCAAAGTTCGCTTATCTTAAACTCATAGAAATAACGTAGATATTCCACGTCTTGTATCTGATTGTGTCGTAAGTCCAGCTTGGTTAAATGATAACTGAAAAACTTGTCGAACAGAATGATAGCTGTGAGCCTATTGTACCTCAGGCTCAACTCACGGACAGGCAACCGTAATTGCTGGGCCTCGCGAGAGCTTATGATACCTGTTTTACTACAACGTAGAACTAGATCGAAGATCTTTGGTATGGAAATAGGACAGAATATCGAACCTAGTGCCTTCTCATTTTCAAAGTCGTCTAGATTGAATATTTTCTTCACTGGCTCATATCTGGCATGCAGGGCCTCTGCTATGATCTTATTTGTATTCACTCGTAGCTCCTGAGCACTAAGAAATCCCAATATGATGTCAATGCGAACCTCCTGACCACCTGGCAGCGTTACACACAATCCCTGTTTCACAAGATTCTCTATGGCATTGCTGGCACACTTTGCGAGGAACGTGCTTTTGTTCTTGTTTTCAATGGAATACATAATCGGTAGCAGAAGCGCCGGTTCACAGGCAGTTATTACAGAACGTAAAACAATATTTCGCCTATGTAACGCGCCGTCGAAGATGATGAATTTGTGCCACAGATTCTTCCGACATGCAAGAGTCATCTCGTTACTGTCGAAAGACGGTTTCAAATGCGTAATTCGATATGGTTCCCACGGCGGTTGGCTTCCCGGCGATGTTGTCGGTGATGCCATTGTCTATCGTAAAAAACAGTGATTTCTAACCTCTTTGCATCTCGTCTAATTGTAATATAATGTTACAACAAATATGTAAATTGACAAATAAATATCAAAGTTTCATTACAAACCTATTTTTATTTTAAAGACGTTTGTAGTAGTGAGTTTTTCCATTCATTTGACTTTTTAATCTGAATTGCGGAATTAGAATCCGATGTGTGAAGTTTGGAAGTATCGAATATGTCGATACTCTCGATAGTCAGAATATGACTCGGTTCAGGTCTATATGACATATTTGGTTAGGAACATTGTACAACAAAATACATTTCACAGCGTTACCACAGAAAGAACGTGAGGTAAGAAATTAAAATTCTGCTCAATTTCTTATTCGACTTGTGTTAGACTGAAATTAATTTCCTATTAATGGTATAAATAAAATAAAATACATATATTAACGGTTGATCTTTTATCTTGCTTTAACTGTGATATGTTTATTTCTAGATTAATTTTAAGATTAATTTTAATTTAAAATTTTTTTTCTTCTTATTCTTAAAATTAAAAAAAGATAAAAGTAAGTAAAACCGAGATTAAAGTTAATTTATATTGATAAAAATGGACATTAGAGTATAAAGTTTGAACTTAATTGGTAATTTAAACTTTATTTTTACTTAAATATATTTTTGGAGTATTATTTTGTACATTCATAGAAGACTTTGTGATAATTAAAGATGTCGAAAGTATTGGATGAGGAATTGAAGCAGGCTTTTTCGAAGCTGCATGAGAAGATGGTGGATACGAAACAGAAGCTGAAATTGGCTGATATACAAATTGAAAAATTGCGGCGTACAAAACAGCGGGCAGAGCTCACTACGAAGGAGATCAGTACCCTTCCCGAAGATACAAAGATGTATGAATCTGTTGGACGAATGTTCCTCCTAGATAATATGAATAACATCAAGGATAACTTGGATAGTAGAATAAAAACATCTGATGAGAAAATCAAGACACTAGAAAATAATAAAACTTATCTGCAACGTAGCTTAAAGGAGAGTGAAAATGAAATCAGAGAAATGATTCAACAAAAACAAAGCAAAGAAACTTCGGGTTAAAACTTATGTATTAATATGTGAATGCTACTTCAATGTCCTCTCATTGATATCTTTTTTAAGCTCAGATTATTATTTGGACTACGCATCTGTAAAAATATAATTGTGAAAGATCTCACCCATCAGTTTGACATTAAATTTCAGACGTTCATACATTTTTGTAATTGATTTCTTTTGTATGTTATATGTGGAATAAAAATATTGTGATTGGCTTGTGAGAATTAAATCTGCTGAATTAAAATTACATAAACTGTAACATAAGCATCCTTTTAACGAGACAATATTGTAAAAAATAATGATATCCTTTCAATAAGAGACAATTGTATGTAAAAAAACAACAATTATAATTAAATAAACATCTTAATTTTTAGCTTGAGAAATGTATTGACAGAAATTGTTTTACTCTTTTATAATTTAAATTTAGATTATTTTTATGAAAACAGATAAATATTTTAAAATTTGTTACTTTTTTATCAGTTTATTAATTTTGTAATAAATTTTCATTATAAATTTATGAAGCAAACTTTTTTAGAGCAAACTTTTAGCTCTAGGGAATTTATATTATTATTATACATTTTATATTTATTAGTTATATATCATTGTATTGTGTATGATTTGTATTATATTAGCATAATGTTGGCAATCTCGTTTATTAAACATAGTTAATAAAAATCTAAATGTATAAATCTTTTAAAATTATAAATTTGAAATTTTAACTCAGTTTTATATAAGAATTTTTGAGTTTTGATTTTCTATAAAGAATTTACCATAAAAATTATCTAATTGGAATACGGTGACATCTAGTTTGATTGAATATTCGTTGAGTGAACGTGAGCACTGAAGAGCGGCCGGCGAAACTAACCTCTTCTTTAACCAAAGTTCAATTTCAGTGAATGTAACAATGTCAACATTAATATTAAAATCTATTGCATCATTAAATAGAAGTAGTGTTTTTACAAAGGTAATCTTTTTTGAAAAATTTATAGATAATATTTTAAAATAGCGATAAAAGCGCATGCATTGTTCAAGTACAGATATTTTTATTATTTTTGTAATAAAAGTAGAACCTTCATTATTTTTATTAAAATTACATTAATAAAAATTGTACTATAAGTGTACTATAAAAAAGTTTTATTGTATGACAGATTGCGAATCATATGATCAGATTAATATATTGTGTATAGATTTTATGTTTTTGATTTTATTTGATTTTTATTATTGAATTGAAATTTTTAAATAATCTGTAATAGCGAGCTTTAATAAAAATTATATAATTTTATAAATAGAATTTTATCCAATATTAATGATTTTTTACTTATTTTAGTTTAGATATATAGCATTACGTCAACAATCTACTTTGCCTAAGAAACCTACAAAAGTAAAAAAGGAATCACCAATTACATGGAAAAACTTGGCAATCTCTAGCGTTCTCGGTACTGGACTCTTGTTGTACATGTGGTATCTCAGAGAGGAAAAAGATAAAGCTATCGCGCGAGAGAGAAGACGGCAGTTGGGCAAAGCTAAAATTGGTGGCAAATTCGAGTTAGTAAATACAGAGGGAAAGATAGTGAAGTCTGACGATTTCTTGGGACAATGGCTGTTGTTATATTTTGGATTTACACATTGTCCAGATGTCTGCCCTGATGAAATAGAAAAGATGACAAATGTGGTAAACACTCTTGGTGAGTACTAAATTTATAGCCAATTATAATAATCAGAAAGTACTTACTCTTATATTTTTATTGATGGCTTATATTATTTCTATTTACAGAAAAAGAACACAATTTAAAGATACAACCAATTTTCATATCAGTGGACCCAGATAGAGATACGCCAACTGTTGTTGGCAAGTATCTTAAGGAATTCTCTGATAAAATCATTGGTCTAACGGGCAATACAGAACAAATTGGAAAAGCGTGTAAGGCGTATAGAGTTTACTACAGTAATGGTCCTAAAGACCAAGATAATGATTACATTGTTAGTATATTATAAATCATAAACAATTTAGAAATCTTATAAAATTACATAATTACTTTTGTAATTAATCGATAATTAATCACTAATCAGTTTTATGTATTTTTTAGGTGGATCATACTATCATTATATATTTGATAGACCCAGAGGGTTTGTTCGTGGATTATTATGGACAAACACATGATGTAAGTAAGATCGTGACTAGCATCCTGGTAAATAAGTTGAAATATGATCAATTAAAAAATGAGTCTTCTTCCTGGTTGCCATCAATGCCAACGAGTATCAAGGGAGTGTTATAAGTGTTGCAACATTCCTGTATATAGATAATTTTTTAAGTTGGTATTGTGCTATAGAAAACTTGGGTATGTAGTATGTTAATACACATATAAACATTACGCGAGTGCGAAAAATATATATAAATATATATAAAATATTTATTTTTCAATGCATTAAAGAGTATAAAGAAAAGATTGAATAATAAAGATTTATTTTGTTTTTTACATCACAATTTATACATTAATTCGTATAATAATAAGTTTTACATCAAACATTTGTATAGCGAACTTAATATAAATATATACACATTTACATACATGCGCGTAGTGAGAGAGCTTACGAGGTAAGATGTTTAATCGAACGTTTATTTTCGAAATGAAATATTCTTATCTTAAAATTGATAACACTTTCCACGATAGGCAACGCTATCAGTGCATTCCTTAATAAAAAATTTGCAAACATTTATTATTTCGTATATATATTTTTTCAAATATATTTAATAGTATTAAAAACTGTCGAACAAGATTTTTATTAATATTCTTGCAATTAATATTCTTGCTTGTTTAAAAATAGCTATACTTTTTTACGCGATAAATAATAAATGAAAGAAACGTCTACACTATCCTGAATCTCTTCTGTTTGTATATATTTCTGCAAAAATAGAGCTTTTATAACAGTTGAATAAAGTACCTGTCTTTGAATAAAATGTTTTACGCGATATTTGTTGTATAATGTGCTCGCAAGTAGGATTGCTGACCACAGACTTTTGCGATGTAATCATATTAAAATTTAACAAGCAGCTTTCATTTGCTTATACTATATCTAGAATCTTGTCGTGAATAACAGAGCTTTTAGCAAATCGGCGTTTTCGCGAGCTAGGCTCACGTGTCAGTGGCGTGTCGAAACATTTCGAAACACCGAGGTACATCGATGAGAGACATTTTGTTGTAAATTCCAACGAATCTCAAACTATTTAAATAAACGAACATCATCTGTACACTATCATACACATACACTCGTATGAATAAAGATTTACAACACGGACAGCTGCATGAACGACACGATATCTCTAAAAGGTAACAAACTTAAAGAAAAAAGTCAGTCTCCATTCTGTAAATTACTAAGGCGCGAGACAGAGGGAGAAAAAGGACAGAGAGATAGAGACTTCCTTTTATTATTCCTTATTTCTTTGCATTTCGAGAATTTACAATAGGAAATCCCTCCGATTCTCCGTTCTTTTCCTTTATCCCCAAGAATGGCACGCGCGTTGAACATTTATAGGACAAGTTGACATGTTGTTTTTTTTTTCCTATCGTGAAATGCGGGTGCTATCACGGTTGTCCATGATGCTGCTGCTGTTGCTGCTGTAAATTCTGCAATTCATATGCGAGATGACAGCACTCGGAGTCGCTCCATCGATGCTGATCGCGAGTCTTGTCGATGTTCGGCCCCGACGCATTTGACATCTGAAAAAAAGAGACAATCATTCGTTAATTCGACAGAGAATTATTTTCGAAACTGAGAAAATTACCTCTTTTTGCAGAAAAAAAATCTTTACTACATCATAGATTCAAAAGCGATTAATAAATCAAATGAATGTTTACTCATTTAAACATTATCGTCACTTCTTATTTAATTAATTATTTAATTAATTACTTATATTTGTTATATACTTGATAAAATGAAAAAAATGTGTAATTATAGATATACGGTGTAGTTAGAAGAGCACAATATATTGACAGATAAGAAAGATTTCAAGACTCAAGACAAATAAAATCGATAATTAAAGTAATATCAATAAGAAATAAATAATTGAATGATATATTGAAATCCATATTTAATCTCATAAAAAGCGATACTAAACTTCTACAAAATTGCTCGCTTTATATTAAATTAAATGTAAGTTTCAACACACACACACACACACACACACACACAACTTTTTATTCCATTCGATTTTTATCCGCGCGACTGCGAATTAAAAAAGTAAGGTATTTTTTATTGTCTCTCTCTCTCTCTCTTTCTGTAAATGTTTACTCTTTCAAGATTAGCCGTTTTAAGATCAGCCCGGCCTTTCGCGTCCATTGCGCGAATGTCGAATAGTACCGGTGGTTTTTTTATCGGAGTGCGATGAAAAAAAGAGGAAGAAGAGGAGGGTATATTTTATCGGCAACCGGATTTACCGGGATTTACGCTGCAGACGCGATATCCTCTAAAACGACGACACTCACGTTCGAGCAGAAGGAGAGCAGCGATTGATCCGTGTACTTGCTGCACAGGGGCGATGTATGATGAACGTGATGATTCTGCGTCGGCGGCTGGCCGTTACCGGCGATCTCTAGGTATCCCCTGCTGCTCGCTAGACTACCTCCTCTCGTTCCAACATCTGCAAAATTGCATCGCGCCGCATATATCCGCATGCAGATTTCGAGCATTCGAGCGAACAAGCACTTCGTTTTAACGGTGGTATCGACCGACTTCCCTGACTTCGGATCTAGTCACTTTAAACCCTGGGCGCCACGCCGTCGCGACATCCGACTTCTCTCGTTGTACATCGCTTTATATTATTTTCAGCACTGTTATGAAATATTTCCACCTTGGCGCGTCCAAGACGAGAAAAAGGATTTCATGTATCACTTCAGCGGACGTTTTTTTTTTATCAACGCGCATTTTTAGGATAAATCGGTTATATTCTTATCTATGTCGCGCGTTCAGCGATTGAATTGTGTACGATATTTATCATCTTTTCAAAATTCAAAAAATTATTTAAAATATTTTTAACAAAATTTGGTTAAAAGGTATAATTTTTAATTGCCAACATAGATCCCTTTAATTATAAAAAAGGGATTAGAATCAAACATTTAAAAACAGCAAGAATAAAGACTTTGATCAAATTTCTTTTAACTTAATCAGCGATTAATCTGCAATGCTTTTATCGATAGAATTATTAATTTTCTTGTCGCTATTAATTCGCTGAATTAATCGCGTTAATTGCTGATTAAATTAATCGAAGTCATTAATCAAAGTCGCCCCGAAACACCAAAGCTTGACGACAGAAAGACGAAGCACACGCAGGGACACGACGTTTCGTAGGATTTAAGGGGACACCTTGTGTACTCGCCATCGAGTGAGTGGACCGGCGAATGGCGCGATCCTGAAACAGGCAGGAGGGTGTCTTCCAGCGCGACTTCCACCACCTGGATCTTCTCGAGTGCCGACGGCCGCCGGACTTTGCGACGTTGTTGCAGCTGCACGTGCTGACCGAGTGCGTTGACGATCTCTGGCCCCATCGGATTCCGCGTAGATGCGTCCATTTGACCCCACGAAGTGCCCTTGACACCTCGGCCCTCACCTCGCCGTTCAGGAAGCAGTACAGCACCGCCACGAAGAAGCCCTTCCGGGAAATACAGAGATACTAATCGCTCTTTCATTTACCGATATTAACTCCCTTTCGAGAGACTCTATATCACTTTCTAGATGTAAATCTTTAGGAAATTAATATATTTTCCGTGTAAATTGTAAAGAGATAGAAAAAAAAAATATCGTTCATTTAAGCATACCTCTGAAGAAGATTCATTAGTTTCTTTTCTGTTCAAATTGCGCAAGTATTACTTGTTTAATTTAAATTAAATTTCTGTTATTAATTTTAAAAAAGAATGTCGAGAGAAATTATAATTAAATTAAAATCGATTTAACAAAATTATTTTAAAGTAAAAATAAGAAAGAAATAGAGAGTGAGTTCAGGATGAGTCCAAAAATATTTAAGCTCTACATTATCAAATGTCTTGCTGTTCGAAACTGGACAATAAAGATGCGTAAATAATATTTCTCGATATATAAATAAAATTAAAGACGTAAAATTATCTACCAGCTTCAATATCTCGTAACTCGATTTTGGGAATATTAGCTTAATTTTTGCATCGTTCAATTTAGCTGTTTGGCGAAAGATAATTGATGATGAGGTTGTTAGGAGCGCTCGATTTCTTGCACGACGACTTTATTGAGGCAGTTCAGCGTCCAGTAAAGTAGATTAGTGCTATTAATAATTGCGCATTACCTGGAAAGACGCAAACAGCTGGTCGCAGAACAGCCACACGATCTCTACGGTCTCGTTTACGCCGATGCTATACGACATCCCAATAAAGAACGCGTAGTGTACCCCAAAGAGCGGTACCAGGACTAACGTGCTTCTTGCCCATCGCCTAGTAATTATTTTAAATATATCTCTATGTAGTAAATTGTAAATAATATAGTAAATACGACTTAAATGAATATAAATATTATTTCATTAAAAATTTCATCGAAAAAATAATACAATAATTTATATTACATTTTTATCGAAAGTATCTTTTTTATCACACACACACACACACACACACACACACACACACACACACACACACACACACACACACACACACACACACACACACACACACACACAACTAACT